CACAGTTTTACCCCTTCCTTCCCAGTGTGAATGATTTTATTTTTTTTTGGAAGCAGGAATTGAACCCAGTGACACTTAACCACTGAACCACATCGCCAGCCCTTTTTAATATTTATTACTTAGAGACAGGTTCTCACTGAGTTACTTAGGGCCTTGCTGAGTTGCTGAGGCTGGATCTGAATTCACAATCATTCTGCCTCAGCCTCTCAGCCTTCAAATGAATGACTGTTCTTGTCCTTGGCTGCTGGACCTAGCTAGACCCTCCAGACAATGGGAACAGACATAACTATTCTGTTCCTGACTGTAACTATGGGGGGGGGGGGGGGAAGCATCCAGCTTTCAACCTTAAGCATGATGTTAGCTGTGGAGTTTTGTAGATACCCTTTATTAGGTTCCAGAAGTTCCCTTCTATTCCAGTTTGCTGAGTTTTCTCTATAATGGTGTTGGGTTTTGTCAAATTCCTTTTTGTCCTGTATCTATTGAGATGATCATATGGTCCTTCTTTTTTAGTCCACTAATAAGGTAAGTTAAATTAATTAATTTTTATAGTAAACCAATAAATCTGTTTGACCATCATGTATCCAATTTGTTAAACCTTGTTAAGAATTTTTGTAACTATTTTCATGTAGGATATTTACCTGTAGTTTTTTTTCTTGTTGATGTCTTCATCTGCTTTTCATGTCAGGCTGATGTTGGTTCTCCATAACCCCCTTTAGGGGTTATATGAAGGGCCCATAATGGAAACCTGAACACATTGTGGCCTTAACTGCAGAAGAAGAATGCTAAGTTTGAAGCTTTATGACATAGCAAACAAAAGCAGAGCTTTTCTTTGGGAGTAGATATGATTACCTGCCAAGGCTGCTTATGGCAAACACACCCTGAGAAATGGCCTGAGTAAAACACTGATGGGGTCCTAGCAGTTTTGGTATAACAGTAAGACTCTGCAGGGACACTCAGGTCTGTGGTAGTTGCCCCTCCAGCAAATTTGCTAAAGCTCTTTTCATTCTTTTGGATAATTTTTTTTCTATTTCCTTTTAGATGGCCTTTATGGCTATGCCTTCCAGTTCATTTATTTTTTCTTCTGTGGTATCTAATCTTCCCTTGATGTATTCAGTGTATTCTTTATCTCAGTTTTCATATTTACATTTTGTTCTAAAAATATTTTTCATGCCTTTATTAAGTCTTTGAACACAAAGAATATAGTTATATTACCCGTTTTAATGTCCTTGTCTGCTAACTTTGACATCTGTGTCAGCCCTAGGTCAGTTTCTATAGATTGCTGTTCTTTTTATCGTGGATGTGTTTTCAGGCCATTTTGTATGCTTGGTGATCTGCGGAATGGATGCTGGATACCACGATTTTCAACTTGTCAAATGCTGGTTGATTTTACAATGCTGCAGATCATCCTGAGTTTTGTTTTATGATGTAGTCACTTGGAAACAAGTTTATCCCTTTGTGTATTGCTTTTATGATGTGTTAAGCCAGTTTTGAAGCACTAGGGCTAATTATTCTGCACTAATGAGGCAAGATTATTATTATTATTCCAAATATCCTACCAAATACTCTGTGAATTATTGAGTTTTTCCAGCCTAACTCTTGGGAGCAGGCAACTATGTGGCCCTCGAACCCTTTCAGATGGTTCTTTCCTTGGCCTTGGGTGCACTCCTTACAACCATGCTCTGATCAGCATTCTGCTAAATCCACAGATGGGGCACTCAAAAGATCTCCAGCTTTCTGTCTCTGGCCCTATCCACTCTGATACCCATGTTTTCAGCTTCAGCTCTTGAATTTGCAGAGACCAGATTCTATCTCAATGCTGTGGTGGGGTAGCAAACTCAAGGCTGTAAACTGAGGCAACCACTGACCAGGCTTACCTGATTCACCTGTATCATTCAGCATTACTGCCCTTCATTGCCTGATGCCCAGCGTCTTGAAACATCAGTTTCATATACTTTGTCATTTGTTGTAGTTTCAGAAAGAAGAATGATACCCATTTCCATTTTGGCCAGAGGTGGAAGTCCCTTTACTAATTTCCTGACTTTAGCTCTTAATTTCTCACATACTTCTTTTTCTTTTCTGTTCTCCCAGTTCAGGAACTCCTGAAAGATGTTAAATTGCTTGATGTTTTCTCCAGTCTCACTGATCCCCTACTCATTTATTAAAAAGATATTCCTTTACTTTTTTCTAAATGGGCCTTTATTTTGTTCATTTATTATATGTGGTACTGAGAATGGAACCTAGTGCCTTACACATGCCAGGCAAGCGCTCTACCACTGAGCCACAAAAACCCAGCTCCTCCTCTACTCATTTTTCAAGTCTCTTTTTTTCCTTGCTATGTCTTCAAGTTCACTTATCTTTTCTTATACAATGTTTAACTAGCAGCTAAACACATTTAACATATTTTAAATCTCAGATACTATAGTTTTCATCTCTAGATAATTTGATTCAAGATTTTTAAAAAAAACAAATATCTTCCATGTCTCTACTTTGCATGATTTCCCTCCTCCAGCTTCTGAAATATGTGGATTACAGTAATAATTTACCGATTACTGTTCCTTTCTACTAATTCAATCATCTGCATCAATTTTGATTGTTTTGATTAATCAATTGTTTTCCTCATCTTGAATCATACTTTCTTGCTCCTTCACACACCTTCTTAATATATCATGGATAAAATATTTTTGCAGAAATTCTGCAAAATATTTTGGCAGAACTTGAAGATTTTACCTTGTTGAATATTGAATATTTTTATATTACTACAGATACTCTTGAGTGTTTGGGGACATGGTTACACGGTCCTTGGTTTGATCCTTTTAGGTCTTACTTTTGGGTTTTTTCAGGGAAACACTGCAACATTTAATTAAGAGTTAATTTCCTTCTACTTCTGAGTACTCTGTCTGCTATTTGGTGAATTGTGAGGTTGACGTTTCTGGCTAATAGAAACAGGAATTATTATTTTTGGCCCTTTATGAGCTCCAATAATCATTCATTCTAGTGCTTTTTCCTCTCAGGCATTCACTGATCAGATTCCAGAGGGATGTCCTATAAATCTATAGGATTGTCTCTGTTTTGCAACTTTCTTTTTTCCTGTAATTGGTCTTATAACCCTTAGCTGCCTCTCCTCAATTTAGAGAGACCACTGAGCTACGACTGGGCTCCTTTGTTATAGTGCATTTTGAAAATTTTCTCCAGGTAGAAGTTGGGGCAATCCTAGCACCTGTGTTGTTCATTTCCTCTTTTCATGGGTCATCATCTTTTCTTGCTTGATGAAAAAGTTTTAAAAATTTTTGCTTCATGTGTTTCCCCCCCAGATTTCAGGCAGGATGATAAATTTAGTGCAATTTATTCCATTTTATCTGGAATCTGAAGTCCCTATAATTTTTGAAGAGTAAGATTAACACTGTAGTACTCTGCAACTGTTAATCCAATTTCTAATAATTAAGATTTATTGATAAACTTGTTCAGAGATTATAATTTTAATCCAAAATATAAAGTTGAAAATGTACATTTAAAACCAAGCAAATCAGCTCTGTCACTGTTTCCAGGGATACTTACTCCAACCAGTTTCCAGGAATATTTCTTCCTTTGACCTCCTGCTATATAGCAGATACACTTGTAGTTGCTGGGGCTTGCTACCTGTTAACAAGACAATATCCTTGCCTGCCTGGAGTTTGCAGCCTAGTGAGAATGTTTTTGAAGTTATTTTTATTTTTTGGTATTGGGTATTGAACCCAGGGGCACTCGTTGAGCCATATCCCCAGTCCTTTTTATTTTGAAATAGGCTCTGAGTAAGTTTCTGAGGCTGCCATCCTCCTGCCTCAGCCTCCCCAGTCGCTAGGATTAGAGGTGTGTCACACCATGCCCAGCTGTTTTTAAAAATTTTAATGCAATGTATAATATATTTGCTAATTGTCAAAGTATTTTTGCACAAAGCTCCAGATAATAAAGCTATATGAAGTAAAATTTATAAGGAACATAATTCCAGGCATATTTTCATCTTGAAACATGTTAACAAATGAGTAGCCAAGAACCACAATCAACCCTGTAGCATCTGTGGGCAACTATTATTCAATTCAGATATAAATTTAACTGGAGGCCCTATCAACTCGCCTATGTAGCCAGACACTTACTGCGGTATCTGGTTCACAGTAGGTGCTTAATATATCATTGACTTAAATTTTCCGCGTGTCCCAGGGTCCTGTTTTGCTTCCTTCACAGGCGTTACTGGTGGGAAACAGCTGAACAGCACCAGCCAGATAGAAGACGTACGTGCGGCAGCACAGGGGGACAGATGGAACTGTAAGGGGAAGCGGGCTGCTGTCCTCCGCTGTCAGTTCTCTAAATTTATGGCTGGCAGGTGAGAGCGGACGCCTCTTGCCCTTGGCTGCGGTCGGTGCAATTCCTCTGCCTTGAATTCCTCAGGTGAGGGCTGGAAGAGAGAAAGATTCTGTAGCTTTTGAACTTTAGGGTGTGTGTGTGTGCAGGAGAGGGGGATAGAGGGATCCAACGAATGCGTAGAAATGCATAGAAAACGTGACAATGCAAGTGACACACGGAGAACTGCCCGTATTCGGAGACCCAGGCCCACTCAAACCCACCCCGGGGGGCCGGCTCAGGCGCCCGCAGGCCACCTGCCATGAGCCAGAAAGGAGCAGGAGAGGGTGGCAGCGTGGGCCGGAGGCTCGCGGGGCGCCTCAGGAGCGACGCTGGGAAGCGGCTACGCTGGGTCAGCGGAGCTGCTTCGGCCGGCGGCACGTGCGCGGCTGGGCGGGGCGGGGCCGCCGGCGGCACGTGCGTAGAGGGCGGGCGGGCGGGGCGGGGCCGCCGGCGGCACGTGCGCAGTGGGGCGGGACCGCTGGCGGCACGTGACCCGCCGCGCGGCTATTAAGCGGCGCGCAGCTGCTCCCAGCCCGAGCTGGTGCTTGTGCTGAGACCCAGCGCCCTGCCAAGCCGCCCAGAGCAGCCGTAAGGTCGCCACCCGCCTCCGAGCGTCCCTCCGACCACCTGTCGAAACCCGCGCCCCCTCGCCGCGCCGCAGCCCCAGCCCCGATCGCCATGAACCAGATAGAGCCCGGCGTGCAGTACAACTACGTCTACGACGACGATGAGTACATGATCCAGGAGGAGGAATGGGACCGCGACCTGCTGCTGGACCCCGCCTGGGAGAAGCAGCAGAGGAAGGTCAGCAGGCCAGAGGGCGCCCTATGGAAGTGGTGACTTGTCCTGTGTCCTTGCAGCCCCGCTCGCCATCAGAAAGGAGGGACAGACAGGGCACTGGACACGTGTGTGTGTGTGTGTGTGTAAAGAGAGAGAGAAACAGAAACGTGTGTGTGTAAATGACATAAGAGTGGCAAACTGAAAAACGTTGACGGAAGAACAGTGCTTTGTGTGTTTCTCACACCAGCCTGCATCAGTCTAGAATCAGAGTCCCAGGTCTGCTGCTGACTCCTTCACCGCCTTGAGTCTGTGACCTTGGCCGCAGGGTTATACTTTACTTGGCCACAGGGTTATACTATACTGTTGTGTCCATTCACCTCAAGCCAGTCTCTTCCCAGTAACAGGGCCAGAGGAACAGCACCTTGGTCCCAGCTTTCACAGGGCTACCCCTGAAGAGTCAGGGACAGTCATTTAGTGTTTGGGCCTCATTGGAGAGGGATGTTATAGAACACTAGAGTTCAGCAGTCAAGTAAAAATTATTCACACTCTATTTATAGTTCATTGAGGTAAGCACACAGGGATGAAGGAGTCAGCCAGTTTCCAAGCGCTCCCTGCCCATCCTGGTTGGTGCTCTCTGGGGCCCAATGGAACATTCCACCATTTCAACGTTTCTTCTTGATCCTCTTGATGAGAACAAATAGTGGGTGCGCACCAAAGGGCTAAACCTTGCCTCCTCTTTGGCTGGCCACAGAGCCTGGCTGGTCAGGCATGAGGTCAGAGACCTGCTAACCCAGCCTTATGATAACAGCATCATGGCCAAAGCCAAGTGTCCTGTGCTTTCTTCTCCTATTTTTCTGGGTACAGGACAAGGTGGTTTTTCTTCTTAAGGGCCTGCTTTTTAAGAGGATAATCTGTGTTGACCACAGGTGCCTGGCAATTTCTGTAGCAGCTACTGTGGTTGATGGTATGATATGAATACATGATGGTAGAAAACATGAAGCCTGCCCTTCTCCCCCCACAGACAGCTGGAAAGAGAGTAGTCCCATATTTGGATAATTATCAAATAGCCAAGCCCTACTTTTATAACACGATTTCTCTTGTCTACCTTCTCTCTGAAAATAGCCTTTACCATTATTATTGTAAAGCTCCTGTTTAGCTATCTTTCAGTTTCTGTCTTAGTTTCATAAGCCTTTTACTATCCTGTGGAAACAAGAGACAGAAGGGTAAATAGAAGTTGAGTCTGAAAAGAGCAACTAAGTTTCTAGCTTTCCACAGTTTTAAAGGGTGCATTCTGAGGGCAACACATGGCCTGAGGATTTTGGACTGTTGTCTGGGTACAACCATGCATCAAAGGTCAGCAAGAGTTAAGAAGTTTTAACAGTGTATGCATTGCTTTCTTTTTAAGTTTCCCAATTTTTAACGCATTTTTTTCATGGATTAAAAAAACAGCTCCTATATTATTTCAAAGATGGCTTTTCTTACTGGAAATAGCAAAATAGCTAAGGAACAGGACAGGCTGTCATTTTTTACAGTAGCAGTTTGATTCCAGAGGTTTCTGTTGATTTTTTTAGATAGTATGATTGTGAGAGACAGGTAATATCCATATCCAAAGGTCACATTGAAGTGTCTTTTGCTGTATTTAATTTTAATATATTTACAGTATTTTTGGATATAATGGCATTGTTATTTTGTTTAGGTTTGGGATTCCTGTGTGACTTTGTTGTTAGTGTGTAGCACTTGAAGTAAAGTGTGTTATGAAAAAGCAAACATACTTGCTGATCTCAGTGCAAAATAATTCTGGAAAGTTTTAAAAAGCTCATTTTTAAGGTAGATAAAATATTGTAGATGCTAGGGTAGGGGAACTTTGTTAGACTTGAACAGATCCACAGGAGACTTTCTCTCCACTTTTGGTATAGAACCAGCTTAAGTCAGTGGAATAATGTGGAACCAGGAGCTCAACACTGCCAGAGCGGTGGCCTCTATTTATGTCCTATGAGACACACTGTTGGAACATGGAGAGCACAAGATGCCATTGTTTCTATTGTGGGCTACCTTCTCCACACTTGCCATTTAGTGATATGCTGGGTATGCGATCTGTCAACAAATGCTGGTGGCACTTGATGACGTCCGTGGGCTCTAATGGATACAGTACCTAATTATACCCACAGTTCAGAGAGTCTGGCGGACTATGGTAATCCTTGCTCCCTGATATGGAATGCCTTGCTGCAGAAGGACTTGTAAAAGTGTTGTGCTGTTCACAAAAGGTCCTCCAGAGGATGCTGGACTTAGTACATGTAGACAGAGGCATCCTGAGTGCCCACCTCATCTGTCAGGGGCTGCTGAGTGCACGCGGCAGGGCTGTTTACAGTGCTTATAAAGATAATTGTCTTTTCTTTTGTACAGCTCACGGACAGGGGAAGGGTGCCTGCAGTGACAAGGGGGCAGCACTTTAAGTAGTAAAAAAGACTGAAATGCTGAACTTACTACTGGAAGTAGAATCTTCTGCCCTACAGGATGCAGTTTAGGGATATCAATTTCAGGTAACTTAGGCTGTCTCCAGGGTGGACCGCTGGCTTCTGGAGCATTGAAGTCTAGAAATAAACTTCCCCTGGATGAGGGAGCACTGTCTTTGCCTCCATGGAAGCCTGTACAGGAGGTGCCTTGTCAGAGCAGCAGTGCTGATGTACATGTTCTTAACCAAGCAGGAAATGAAAGGAGACATTGTTTCCATACCTAAAGGGTCCTTACATCTTAATCTGTATATGGCCCCATGATAAACTTTTCTGAGTTCTGACTGATCTTCATAGTGCCCCCAGAGGTTCAAGTTTTGCACCTTCCCCGTTGAAGTGGCCCATTCTCCTTGGGGCAGCTTCCTGACTGGCTGGCCTTCCCAGCTGCATTGGCTCAGGCAGTGTGTATATGCAGGAAGAGCTGCCCACAGGGTCACACAGAGCTGGTGACTGCCCCTTAAAGGGGCATGGTTGAGGCTGCTCTCAGCTAGTAATGCATGCTCTTGCCTGAGTTTTAACTGGGAGAAAAGATTCATGTTGTGTAGCTAGATCAACAACAAGCTGTTGATTCACAAGATCCAGATGATTCTCATGAAATCCCCAAGCCTCTCAGCTCTGACTAGTCCTCTGTGATCACAGCTGAGTCCCTCTACATTTGATTATTGATTTGAGCAGCTAGGAAACAAAGGTAGAACCCTGTCTTTCTTATCTCATAGGGTTTTGTCTTGATCCAGTGGATGAACTGATTTATATTGAAGGGGCTTTATACACTACATAAATCCATCAATGTTCAAACATTATTACCTTGTGTGCAGCAATAGTTGTTATTTTGTCAAATGATCTAATAATAATAAGGTCTTCACTTGGGTTTGTGAGAGACAATGAAGTAAAAGATTGGTCCTTAGTGACTGCAGTGTACTTTTTATTGGGGTAAAATGTATAAAACATTTTACCATTTTTTAACCATTTTTAAGTGCACAATTCAGTGGCATTATGTACCTTCATATTATTGTATCATACTGTCTGTTTCCAGAACTTTTTCCATCATCCCAAACTGAAACTCTTTCCATTAAAAAAAAAAAAATCACTTTCTAGCCCTCCCTTCTTCCATGTACCTTTGAAGATTGGATTTACATATCAAAAACTTACAACATAAGAAATTGTTTAATATTAAGCACTGGATTGTCTAAAGAATAAAAATGATAGGAGGTCGAACAAGGAGAATCATCATGGGTGAACAATGAGGAAGTGCTTACAGGGGTGTAGGTCTGAACAGGCCTCCTCGAGTGAGCACTGTTGGCTGAGTGGAGCAGGAGGAGGAACTGCCTTCTTGGTTAGAGAAAAAGTGTGAGAAACCTGTTGTGTTTGGAGGCAGGCAGGGATTGGTTGGTGGAATACAGCACGTTTATGTACCCCTTTAGCAGTGATGAGGACACCTCACTCAGATACGCAACAAGTGCAGAGGCGTGTAGATGGAAGTAACCCAGGGGCCACATGGACTGACTTGGGTCGCCGAAGCCACCTCTTTCTGTGCTTACAGGGGTGTAGGTCTGTATTCTTGGATTGTCTGTGGCTCCTGATGAGTTTGAGGAAGTGTGAAGAGCAGACAGGCTTCGTGAAGCCAAAGATGCAGAGTCAAATTTAGAGAGAAGACAGAGCTGGGTTACAGTGGGCCTGGGATGCCAGGGTGGCACAGACTCCTTCTGCCGGCTGTGCAGAGGTCTTTGGAGCTGGGAGGAGCCATGCTTTCAGGAGCTTGCTGTTTCAGGATCAGTCTGCATGGGAAGGACCTGAAGCTGGGGAACCACTGTAGGTCCATGGGCACACTGTGAGGATTAGAAGGAGGGGACAGTAGGCGTGGTGACAAGGAAGGTGTCCATTTGAGAGTGATCCGAGGGATTGTGGAAGGATCAGATAAGCACATGTTGTTCCACAGTAAGCCGTTGATGGATCTGGTCAGGCTGACGTGGTCCTTCTGGTAGAGCTCCTGGCCCAGCACTCAAGATGGTGGTACTGACAAGCAGCAGTGTCTGCTGATCCGCCAAGAGATTTCGTCCAGAGGGGAAGCTCAGTATTTACAGAACACATCATCACCAGGTGCAGGAAATGCGCTACCATGCTGAGGAGGCAGAGTCCCAAGCATGTGAAGGCAGGGCTGCAGGTTGAGAGAGGTTTTCATGGGCAGACAAAGTTCTTGATGAGAGAAGGGCAGAGGAAGAGGTAGAAGCAGAGCTGTGCAGAAGGCAAAGTGGGGGAGCAAGGGTGAGGGGCAGCCTGCAGGGTAAGACCTTGAAGAACCTGCAGGAAAGGCTCAGCAGACAGGGGCAAGCATAGCTGGTCTCAGGCTCCAGGACAGGTCAGAACCCTCCCTGAGGCAGTGAAGAACCACAGAGGTGCCTTAAGCAGGCAAATACCAGGGCCCAGCTTGAGTCTTCTCAAAATCGTTCTTGCCAGTGTGGAGGAGAAAGGGCTGAAGACAGGCAGGATTACTGGGAGAGTGGCAGAACAGGAGAA